TCGACAGATACTACTTTCTTGGGCTCCATTACCACTGCACATGGTGACAGCAGCCATGAAATTAAAAGACGTCTGCTTCTGGGAGGAAAGCGATCACAAATTTAGACATCATCTTAAAAAGCAGAGTCATCATCTTGCCAACAAAGGTCTGCATAATCAAAGCTTTGGTTTTTCCAGTAGTGATGTGTGGAAGTGAGAGCCAGACCATAAAGAAGGCTGACCGCTGAAGAATGGATGCTTTTGAACTGTGGTGCTGGAGGAGACTCTTGAGAGTCCCCTGGACTGCAAAGAGAACAAACCTATCCATTTCGAAGGGAATCAACCCTGAGTGCTCACTGGAAGAACAGATCCTGAAGTTGAGGCTCCAATATTTTGGCCATCTCATGAGAAGAGGACTCCCTGGAAAAGACCCTGATGTTGGGAAAGTGTGAAGGCAAGAGGAGAAAGGGATGACAGAGGATGAGATGGTTGGACAGTGTCATCGAAGCAACCAACATGAATTTGACCAAACTCTGGGAGGCAGTGGAAGACAGGAGGGCCTGGCGTGCTCTGGTTCATGGGGTCACAAAGAGTAGGACATGACTTAACGACTAAACAACAAAAATTAAAAACCTCTCATTTATATAGGAGCATTTTTCTTCCCCTGGAAAAAGAACCCCACCCATGGCTCTTTAGTGGATCTTAACCCAAACAGTAATAATATTTTACATAATTATTTAGTCCTGAGGTAGGGAATTTTGAGTAGCGAGGGATGGCACGAAGCATTTTATGGGGATTCTGTGTATGGGAGTGGCAAAGAGGAGATGGGAGTATGTGTGGTGGTTACAATTAATTCAACAATTATAATTTGAAAGACTTTGAGGTGTCTTTAGAGTGGTGGTTCCCAACTTTGGATCCTCAGATATCCTTGGACTAAAATTCCCAGAAGCCTTCACCACTAGTTGTGCTGGCTGGGATTTCTGAGAGTTGCAGGCCCAGAACATCTGGGGACCCAAGGTTGGGAACCACTGCTTTAGAGCCATGCCTTTGCAAGGTAGCTTCCAACAGGAAACATAATGCCTCAGTGAAATCAAGAACATGTCAAAATGACACAAAAACCAAGTCTGACAAAAATAAAATTATCTGTATAAAATAATAATAGAAGCAAACCATAATAATTTTTTTAAATAGTTTAAATTATTTTAAACAATTTCAAAACAATAAGCCCAAGGTGCTGAAAGGTAAATTGCTAAGCATATTGGCAATAAAGGCAGGAGCTGGGATTCAAAGACTAGGAACAAAAGATCAAGTCTTTCCATTCTTTTAGAACAATTCTAATCATTACATATATACATTATATATAAAGAATGGTGAAACTGGTTGTATTGACCTAAGCGGCTTTCAGGTTGCTTTTCCCCCAAAGCTGTTCTCCATATTATATGGCAAGCTTCTTGACAATGAAATTTCTTCAAAAGCTATTTGTGCTAAGGCTTGGAGTTGGCTTTCTAAAGAAAATAATCAAAATAACTACCAAGCTAGGACAAACACCCTATATCAGCCAAATTAGGAATTTGGATTTCAATCATAAAGCTGGAAATTATGTAGGCAGTGTCTACCACCTGAGGATATTAAATATATTTTATTTAGTAATTGAGGAAGAAGGCAGATAGGTAACAGTGTCCATGAGAATAAATCCTCTAAAACCTCTCTAACTATTGATGCGCAGCTTGTACAATTATTTGTTTATACCAACAGATATGCACCTGCCATAGTACATAAACAGCATTCAACTCTGTAAGACTGATTCTTTTTCAAACAAGTTGTTATTCCAATTTCAAATTGTCAGAAACATGAATATATTTGCAAGTTAATACATTTCTGAGCTGAAACTACTGGGGGAAACTAATGACATTTTAAAAAATAAAGAATAGGGTTCACCTTGGCAGGTACTTTGAATTCTCCGTATTCTTTCAGAAGTTCTTGCGTTTCTTCGGCCGATTCCCCGGTTGAATTGTGAGTAGAAAGATAATACTCTCCTGTTTCCTGAATCCAGTTCAAGGCCTACAAATGGAGAGGGAGAAATCACACACAAAAAGAAAAGAAAAACAGAATGGAGACATGTTTTTTTTTTACATATCTCAGAATGAACAATTCAGGTTCAAGTGCAACTGAGTAGCACTGTTGGCTCCAAGGAAAGAGAAAGGACCTAAAAAGAAGACTCCAAACCCAAATCTTGTATTTCACAATAAGTAAACTGTGCTCACATATGGATTCACTATCCACTACTTTGTATTTTACAAAGCCACTGACACTGATGCAGAATATGTGTACACTATTGCCACATCAGAACTTTCTGCTTAGTCCCTTTGGCTATAGCAGTCTCAGTTGGTTCCTGACAGCATACAGTAGTTTCCAGTTACGTGAGTGGCTGTTCAGTTAGCAGGGGTTAGGAGCCTGAGGATTCACTGAGAACATCCTTCAGGTGACAATGCAAAATTTCACATGTGCAACCTAGTGACTGGCAGTTCATAGCTATGTCCTGACTTTGGAAAGCAGAGAGGAAGTATTTTATATTTAGATGTGTTGCCAGAGAAATGCAACACAGAGAACACTGGAAATGTATATGCAGTGAAGATGCTGCCACTGCTGGGAAATCGCACCACCTTCCTTCCTGGGTCCTTTTGGCCCATCCTTTGACTGCTGAATCAGGCAGGACTTTCATTCAGTCTCCCAGCAGATAAAAGCCAAATCTGAGTGCATGGCCTGTCCAAGGCAAAAGGCACAGCTAGATCTCTATTCTACAAACAGCCAGCTTTTAAACTTACACAGGCTAATGGCCCATCTCGCTCACATAGTTTCAACAAGGGCCCGATCTTGAAATTCTCAGCTCCCAACTTTTCCAATCTTGACTGACACAAAGGATTTAATTCGTTTTGTTAACCTACCTGCTTAGCACTGCGTTCAAAGACCACATACTGCTGGCACTGATCCAATCGCCGTTTCTTCAAGGTCCAGAAATGAAGGACACGGTTCTCCCTCTGCAGCAGCTCACTTAGAATAGCTGTAAAAAAAACACCCGGAGAGCCGTTACTCTCTGTGATTTAGTAAGTGTTTGTAGATCCAAGTCAAGGCAATTTAATTCACTGCTTCATCACAAAGACTGGAGCTCTCTGGGTAAAGCACTTCAGGCCAAACTTCAAGGAGAAAAACCCAGGGTGGTAGTAGTGGTGGGAGGGTTAGAAGATGGCAGCCATTAACACAAGTGGCTCACTGAGTGTACAGAAGCATCCACCTACACAAAAACTTTACGTATGCTATGTAGAGCACTTTGAGACCATGTTTTTTTTAAAGACAAAGCAGCAGGGTGATCATTAAAACTAAAAATCTGCAAGCCACAAAGACAGCAAGAGTTGACCTATGCAGCCACTATGCACAACATTAATTCACTGAATGAAGCCTTTACTTTTGCAAAAGATGCATGTTCAAAAATATGCTAGCCTGATGCTGAGGATAATGTAACCTGGCCTCCAAGCAAGACTCTATAGCAGGAGTACACAGCCCAAGAATGGGTGCAGCCTATGTATTTCTCCTTTGGTCAATAGATACCACTGCCTCTGTTCCTCTATGGCAAGTATTAAAACAATACCAGGCTGAGGTCTTAGGAAGGGGAGGCAGGTCTCTTCCCAACAACACTGATACAGAGACACTCAATGCTTTGGCACATCTAAGAGTATACTGAGGGCATTCCATAAATATCCATCTTTCACTATGGATAAATATTTATTTCAAACTCTGCCATAAGGCCTGGAGAGGACAGACCATACTATGGCATAGGGATCAGATTCAGAGAGATATCTATAATGTAGAATTTTATGGCACCCAAATTTTAAGTCACCAAAAAGTCCTCTGAAATCAACACTATATCTGAAAATGTTTTCTTTCAAAAAATACTTAGTTTTCATTAGTCTGAGGTGGTGGTGGTGGGATGAAGAACCTGAAGAGAGTTTTTTTTTTTTTTTTTTTTATTATATTTGAAAATGTTTTCTTTCAAAGAATACTTAGTTTTCATTAGTCTCAGGTGGTGGTAGTGGGATGAAAAACCTGAAGAGAGATTTTTTTTTTTTTGTAGAGCACAGCCTTGACTTTTACTAGATACACAAATAAAACATTCCAACAAGGTGTTTTGACATTCAGTGTAGGGTAGCCCAAGATATTTCGGTGCAGGAGTTAGAAATCCCAGGTGACAGCCCTACTAACTGATGTGGGTCAAAGTTCACCAGATCTTCTACATGAGCGTCAATGAAATAAAATTCTATGAGGCTTTCATGAGAGAAAATCTCTGTGGACTGTGATATGTCTATTTGTTTTTCACCTGGCCATCCTAACAGGCTCTCTACATTCATAGTAACAGGTTCCCTACATTTCCGTTCATGGTAGAATTACGCTTTAAAATGCCTGCTCCATATTTACACCAAATGGTAGCTTTATGTAAACAAATCCACATAACTGAATACACCTCTACTCCAGTCATAAAAATGCATTTTAAGAACATGGCCTAATGAAAAAACATACCCAATATCTTCCCCGCCATTTCCCATACATATGTGCAAAAGCAGAATACATTTTGACAGAACCCTTTAGCAGTACTCACTAAAGAAACGTTAGTTTTCAAGGCACTGATTTATGTTAGTCTTGAGGTTTTTCAGCCTTTTTTAATGATAGGACATATCCAATGTTTGGAGCACACAAAACCAGATTACATTATTATCCCTGTATTGCACTGCTATTAATCTGTTCCTTTACTACAGCTTTTAAAATAATCCAATCAGAGATTTTTAAAAATGACTTAGTTCTGCAGATTTACTTTGGCTCATTTTTATCAGCACTTCACAGAATCTAGAAATAGATTAGCAACTATTGGATTATGGTCCCTCAAAAAAGAATAGCAGAAGCATCAGCTGTGACCTCTCTGGGAGCATATCATCACTACAGCAGACTGCTCTTCTGATCATGTATAAAAAGATACTCTTAACTGGTCGCTGTAGCTAAATGGCTTTCACAGAGAAAGAGAAGAGCTGAATTCTAAGGATAAGAATCACTGTCCATTTCACTGTAAAAAGAGAACTGGGGCCATGGAAACCTGGTTTATACATCTTCGATAGCTCCAGATTCTGTACAAGCTGTACAGCATGGACATGAAAAACAATCCGAAAACTTCTACAATCTTTGAGTTTCTAAAGAACAGGCAGAGCTCTGCTACTTTCGTGACTACATACCAGAGGTAGAACTCTAGCCATTTTGCTGAGTTCTTAGATGAAGGCACTGTGATGTGGAGCAGAAATTCAAGTGATCATAAATCCTAACGTGCGCATGCATGCACATATATACACAAACCCCTAAGTTCATCAGTCTGAGCTGCTCATTTTACTGAAACCCCAGCACACAACAGTCATGCTATGGAACACAACCTGCCTTTTTAAATCTATCTTCCATATTCTCCCCTCAGGTAGGTAATTTAGAGACTTATGCAAAACATCTCTCTTCCCACATGGCACTTAAAATTTATTGATCATCTCTAGCCACCTAGAGGAGCCTGCTCCTCCTATAAACTGAGCACCCAGACTCTGAGAGACATAAATTAAAAGTAGCACTGAAGGCAGCTGATTTCTAAGAATTCATTAAGATTCATAGCTAAGAAGCCCTTGGCAAGCACACTTCTAATTATAATAAAGAAGAAACTATGCTACTAAAGCTCTTTGGGTGCTAAAGGCTTAACATTGTTTGGCGTTAAAGAAGTATTTGATCATTCAGCAGAGGAAGAGCTTCAGTGATTCCTGTCTTGAAAAGTAAGCATTTTAATATGAGCAGCACTGTGTACAAGTTGCATGGATTTTTTTTTAGCTACAAGAGATACCTTGATGATATACTGCAGCCAATTAGGAGGAAAAGAGCACTATGCAATGTTTGTGCCATTCATCTGTATCATAAATTTATTCTATTCAGAGCAAGAGATGGGAGGTGTACACATCTGTAATGATCCTATGTGGCAAAAGTTTACTAAACTTTTCACTAGATTTTAGAGAATTATTTATATTTATGATTTAATTATTGTTGTATATTGCCATATTGTTTTTGACTATATGTTTGTTATGTGGGATCTTCAGTGGGTAAGCCCAATCATAATTGGTGGACATATGGTGTATTACTAGAGACAAGCACCATGCACAGAACGCATCTCCCAAAGCACACACTAACCTTTGACTTGTTGTTCAGGTCCTCTTGTATGGCTCACTACCCCTGGCATGCTGACGTTGTTTCTGTGAATGTACTTGAGAAACACTTCGGCATTCCGTCGTGCTAGTGTGCAGGCCTGTGGGTGGCAAACAACACCACGCACCCCCCCCCAGCACAACAGTTACCCTTTTGACAGGCAAATAAGAAAAATAAAGCATCAAGGTGCCTACTGAACTGTGACATGAACTTCTTTTCTCATTTGACCTCTGAAGGATGTTGATGTGCATGAGAAAACACTGTCCGAAACTCATGCTGCAGTTGCACACATCCATCATCTTGGGGGTGGCATGATATAAGAAAAACAAAACGCTACATGGAAAAGCTGGCTAAAGTTACAGCGAAAGATGCAAGCAGAGGATGTCTGGCCTTTGATTTTTTTGGGGGGGGGGAATGGCAGACAAATTCTTCTGGAATATAATCTTTCAAAATTACACTACTGCAAGATCTGTATGCTTTCATTTTGATAAACAAATGAGCTGAGAGGCGTTTGAGAATGCACATGCGAGCTCTGGCGTGTGAGGAGCTGGAGTTACAGTGAAGAAAAAATTACACTATTGCAAGATCTGTATGCTTTCACTTTGATAAACAAATGAGCTGAGAGGCATTTGAGAATGCACATGCGAGCTCTGGCATGTGAGGAGCTGGAGTTACAGTGAAGAAAATGTGGTTACTTTCTGCCACAACAACCTTGCTAGAGAATATACAAGCATGTGAAATAAATGGCCTTAATCTAGGCAGTCTAATGGTCTGGACAGCACAGTAGAGCCTGGCTATCCTGAGTGGTGTCATCAGTTCTGAGCCATCAATGGCAGAGGTTCCTCCTGACTCTGATTTTTTTTTAAATCGGAGGTGCCAGGTACTGAACCATACTGATGCCTATGTGCAGCACATGGGCTTGACCCGTGGTCCCTGTATCTACTCAGAGCCAGAGTACAGGCAGCAAGGAGGGAATGGATAAAGGGGAGGTGGGGTGGGTTCCTCACCTTTTCAACACAAACACAGATTACAAAATGAAAAGCAGGAGAAAATGGGGCTTCAAATCTCTCCTCAACTCAGTTGTTCAATGCTGACGTCTCCCTCTCTCAAACACACCCACAGGCATATATACACTCTTTCCTCAGAGGTAGATATATGCTTCCCTCTCTGCCACACAAATGATGCAGTCAAACACACAACTAACTATTCACAAAAGGTACAGAAGTCTGTCCAAAGTCACCTTCTCTTATGTGTGGCAGTTTGGCCATAATCTTTCTTAGTTTGTGTGTCTTTGTATAGTATTACCTATGAACTATGCCTAGTTTTTCCAGAAATATTATTTAGCAACACTCAGTGCTGATGACACATCAGAAGGCAAGGCACAAAAGGTCTGTTTGTGTGAGCCGGCTATCCAGGTGACAAGTGTAATTTTTCAGTAAGTGTCTGCAAGGTCTACTCCCTTCCATGAAATGAAAGATGAGAAGTCACAGTTTCAGAATCTATGAGGGCGTGAACTGATGCAAATTGCTTTTTTGCACATTACACTGCCTGCACAAGCAGTCACGTGCATGTGTAGCAATCCAAAAGAAGTGATGTCAATTTTTTTCTTTCACTGAAAATCATTGCGAGGCCAGAAACAGATATGAAGAATAGCTCATAATTAGAGGTGAGATCATGTTAATGTTACAGTGAGATGACTGAGACAACCCTTCTGTATTTATGAAGTCATACAATCATCATCATCATCTTAGAACTACAGAGAAGGAAGGGACCCCTATGGATCATCAAATTCAGCCCCTGTCAAGGAGGCACAACAGGGAATCAAACTTGTAACCTATACCGTAACCACTGAGCTATCCAGCAGTTCTTATGCTTCAGGCTGGAAGCACCAGACAATAATTTGCATAGTTCCAGAGGTGAAGGAAGCTCATGCTGGGTTCCCTCTAATAGCCTTCATTGTGGACTCAGAATGAAAGAAAACCAAAAACCTCAAAAAATCTCTCCTCTGGATGGTGTCATAGTATTTGCAGGCTGAGTGGCATCCATGAAACATTCCCCCCAAAATTGACACTTAATTCACAATCTGTACTTTTTCAGATTCCCACAAAATAATATGCTGATGCACTTTTTTTTTACAGGCAAAAAAATCTGCAGAAAGTATTAGGGATTTTGCTACTCAGCTCAGCTGTTTTCACAGTTAGAACAAAAAGAAACACAATTGCTGAAAAGCAGGAGGAATAGGGTTGACCTTCAGAAAGGCTTCCTTCTGTTCCAGATGTTTGCTGATTAAAGGGATGACATGATCTATTTCAGACGCTGGTCCAAGCTTATCCCGGCCTCCACACCAGTCTTCATCTCTTCGATACTCCTGCTCCAAGCTCTCCAGGACACTGCAAACCTGCAGTACAAACCAGCACACGATAGTCCAGCGACCAAAGCTACTTCCCAAAACACATCCCATCTAATACAAGTGCATTCACATAAGATTATTTAAAACAACTTCACAAATACTGTAACACTATTTCAGATCACAATGACTAACCATCAGGGGATAATGAGAGTTACAGTCCTGAATGCCTAGAGGCTAGATCAAGAAACAGAAATAGTTCTTTTATGAGAGTTTTATGCCAAGGGTAGACAAGGGGCACCACCGAGGTCACCTGTGGCCCCTGGGGCCCAAAGCAGAATCTTATTTCCCCCTCCCCCGTCCCCATGACGCCTCACATCGTCATTGTTGATTTAATGTGAAAAAGCTCATGTTGGGCACCTCTAGGTGCCAGCTTTTGCCCTAGTATATTAAAAAAAATTAAATTACTACTAAATGTCGAAATGGGAGATGCCAGTGTTGTGTTTTTTTTTAAAAAACACAGTTTGAAATATATATTTATGGGATGGGAGGACAGAAGCAGATCTCGACATGGGGGTGTGTTGACCCAGATCTCTGGAAGTTGCCCACCTCTGGCTTATACTAATAAGATGTGTTTTTGTATATGTGTTTTCTGTTTGCAACTGAAGTTTATTCTTACGTGGAAATGTATATTTGAGTATTGCTTTTGGGCCCATATTTTATAATTTAGTGGTTATTATTTTGTTATTCTTAACTACAATAAAACATTTAATTCAAGAGAAAAAATCTCTTAACTCCCTTTGCTAAAACATGGAAAATCCCACCCTGGGAAATACAATTTTGTTTTAAATTGGGAAGCATCTCTCTCTCCCCTCCCCCTGCCTTGGGACATGAAAGAGGACCCCAGATCCTTTGACGTTCCCTAGCCTTTACATTAAGCCAGCATAGCTAAATAGATGGTAACAAAACGATCTCATATATTTGAAATCATAGCTGCCTTAAGTTGATATTTTATGGTAACATTTATCAAGAATTGTAACTAAAACCCATGCCATTACACAGATAAGGCATGACTCAACTCACCTGCTCGGAGGTTTTATAGAACGCAACAGATGCATTAACCAGCTTCAGCCTGTCCTCCATCTTCAGCATGAGTTGCTGCCAATGCAATGCCACCTTTTCTGCACATTCCCTGATGGCATCAGCATCATAGTGCCCAGCCTGTAGCAATACCTCTGCCTTCTGCTGTACCTGGAGGGCACTCTGGTGTGTCTTCTGCAAGGAAGTGGCATGAAAGAGGGACTGTGCATGAGGGGAGGAAAGAGAGATTTGTATAGATGTGCCAGGCAAATGGTATAAGGAAGTGAGGTGAGGTGTGGGCATGAAATGTGAGAGAATGAAACATTTTTTAGACTGAGCTTCATAACTGACAAATTTTCTTCAGAAAGCATTTTATAAGTTCATACTATCATGTCTATTTTTATTATTTATTTTCAATGGTTATGGCTCACTTTTTATAAACTATCTGAGGATGCAGTCTCACCGGCAATAAGAACCACTGTTGAATAATCAATTTTAGGCTTATTTAAATTGATTTATAAATTCCCAGGCACATGATGCAAAGTGAGTCTTTTTCAACTGGCGAGCAGGGGCTTTTAATAACACCTTGTTTTTTAATCAATGAAGCTTTGTGGATGTGAATGCTGCTGTCATTCTAATTTGTGCCTACGTTGATTTTGAGTGGTGGGGTACAGTGTTTTTCCTTTTAATTTTTTAAATTCTTTCTTAAAATGTTAGTCACTGCATCATTTCATCAGTATGTTCAGCATTACAACCATCTACTCTATTCCCTAAATTTGGCCGATGAAGGAGCCAGTGATGCAGCAGAAAACCAGAGAGCACAGAGTGGGTGCAGAGCAGGTGCATCAGGACACAGAGGAGAGTCTGCTTACCAGGATCATTGCCCTGCAAAGCAGCTGACTGGCTCACTGAACCAGGGAGCCACTTCAAACTGCCCAGGAGCTGAGCAGCACTGAGTGGGCACATGAGGACTCAGAGCATGGCTGGTGCACTAGGTGCGCAGGAGGCCCAATAGCCAGATGACCAGCATGAGGGGATCCCTCCTGCTTGAAGTGACAGCACCAGGTTGCTAGTGGGGGGTCCAAATGTGATTTGCAGGAAAGGCAACATCTAGGACTGCAGCGCAGGGGCTGAGGCTTCAGTATTGTCTCCTTTCCTGGAAGCCTTCTCACCCCAATTCCCATTTTTCCATCATTGATTGGCTGGGGTCAGTTAACCTGCAGTTTCTAGTGACTATTATGCCACTAAGTGCTGCCTCATAGACATCTGATTTAGCGATGTACCACTTACTCTTTTGAAAAAAAAAAATATTTAAGAACAGTGTGCTCCTAGAGCAGAAAGGAAATGAGTCAGTTTCACCAGTGTAACTGCCAAAACTGGTTTTAATTATCAGAAATAGATTTATTTTCAGTCAAAGTGAATGTGGCTACTGATTTATATACCACATGATTTGAACCCAATATAAAAAAGTCAGAACAGGAATTGATTCAAATTGCTAGTGGGACTGCACCCGAGACAACTCTGTGTCACAAAATCTTTGAGGATTTTCCTCACAACATCAGTTTAATAGGTAGTATACAATTAGGAAGGGAACTAATGTAAAATTACTTCTTCAGAAAAATCTTAGGCTTTGGTCTCTGCAAACATTCACCTGTGAATGAGAGATTCTTAAGGCATTCTTAAGAGATTCTTAAGGCAATTCAAACTATTGCCACATTAGGTTGTAAATAATTCTTGTAGATTTTCTTGTGCTCCACAAAAGGTATCTCAGCAGATGATATCTTCATTAGACCATTTTTAAAAAAGCAAACAATTTATTAGTGGTCTAATACAGGTATTAACTGGATTTGTCTTATGTAAAGACCACATGGTCTTTTCTAATTTTTTCTGATCAACAGATCAAGAGACCTTATTGAAAAAAATGGGTTAGTATCACAAGATTTTTCACTCCTACATGAGACTGAACAGACAAGTATTTTTCATCAACTCTGTTTTTTTTCAAAGAAAACAAAACATGGCTTTTGCCAGAAAAAATGTATTTTACATTAAAAATCTTAGCCAGAATATTGACAGAAACAAAGAGTGCAAGGACAATTTTGCAGATGGTTTCCTCTCTCCAACAGATTGTCCACTATGTGTTTTGTCATGGAAAATAAGGCATGCAATCATTTGTGTGCCAGTCAACTCACCAGAGGGCAGAAAATTCTGTGCAACTACCCTTGCACATGTGTTCTTTCACAGCAGGATTTTTGCCCCCCCCAATACAAAATATTCTGTGTAAAATACAGTCTCTCCCTCTCTCTCTCTCTCTCTCTCTCACACACACACACACACACACACACACTTTTGCAAACTTTCTGCAAAAAAGTGCAGAAATGCAAAAAGTGCACCATAACACTCAGAATCTTGCCCAGCGGTGAGAAAAGTTATGAAATGACAGACAAGAACAAAAATTATCAAAGTGTTCTACCCCCGCTGCAAAAGAGTGCAAGATTCTATATTCCAAACTTCAACACACACCCCCAATCTGTTGTTGGAACTGGAACTGGAAACTGAAGTTGCTCTAATACCTTAAGCTGGGGCCGGTTGTTCAACTAACAGGGCAGTTTGCTTTAAAACAGATATCAAAGGATTTGTAAAGAAAACTCCAATGCAGCTATCAGCCCTTCCCGGCTCTGTATTATGCCTGAAGATACCAGTGGCCTGCTGAGTTTTTAAGCAGCAGCAGTACAGTATTTAATCTGGCATTCCTCTCACTGAACAATTTTTTCTAACCCATTGGCAGCATGAGAACCCACATCTTGCTATGTGGCTGTTAGTTCATAACAGCAACTACAAGTATCCTTGAGTGCAGCAAGCTGTGCCAACATGAACTAGGCGTCACATTCCACCGAGGTGCCTGGTTAATGCAGCCAAGATGTAACGGAATGATACCGAATCTCCTTCACTGAATGATAAACCCCTTATTCCCTTCCAAAGCTTGCCAGTATGACAACTTACACAAAGTGTTCCTCAGCGTTTGCTAAGAAATTATCAATACCTCTGCAGAAAAATGGCTAAACATTAAAATAGCTGTCATGGGCAATTTTTCAGGGAACCATTTTTTGGTGTAAAGACTGAGGATAAATCAAATTAATAAACAAGTTCCAAGCATATTAATCAACTTGTATAGCTCAGTGGGCTCCATGTCTGGATAAAGAACCAGGGGCTGCGAGTTTGAATCCCCACTATGCCTCCCAGGACAGGACCGCAAAAATCACCTGGAGCTTGTGTAGCTGATGTGGTATTCTGAGTAGTCTTGGACAACTTGCACAATCTCAAAGTGCCACCAGAAAGAGGGAATGCTAAACCACCTCTAAGTACTTTAAGACTAGGAAAACCAGTGAGGGTCATCATCAGTCAGAAATGACATAATGGCCCTTTGGCATTTACTACAGCATGTTAGCAATCTTCATACACCCCAAATGGCTCTTTTATTTTAATTGATGAGTAGGATATAACTGCTATTTCTGGTTATGATACTTTTACATGGGCATTAAAAGCAGCTTTGCAGCTTTTTCTCTGCATATATGAATGCTCTTAATGTAGGGCAGAAAACAGAAGAGAGCCGTGTTTAAGCTGAATGTATGTTCTAATCAATACATCAGATCTATCTACAGGAACAAGACTTTTTATTTTACTATAATATTAATCAGCTCATTTAGGCAGAGCCAGCAATATTTCTCCCTTCCAACAACTACTTGTATACAAATATCTGCCCGCTGAAGCTTCACTTAATTCATCTGATGAAGTGGGCTACAGCCCACAAAAAGGTATGCCATACGCTCTCTACATAAAATAAAATAAATATGAAATACATTACAAGAGAGTTTGTTGCTTTTTCAATACAGTCTAACCTGGCTACCAACCTTACCCCTAAAAATTTTAATGCAGATTTTTACTTCACGTTACACTTTTATATATCTCAAAACTGAAACAAAATATTTTCAGTGTCTTGTCATTATAACCTCCATAATGACTGAGAAATCTAGCACCTTTGACTCCATTCACTCTATCAGAGGAGGAGACACACATTTACCTTATAGTGTGATCTGACCACAAGATTACATCTAGGACAAGAATTCTTCTCCAACCCCAGTAAACTAAATCATTGATTTCTACAGGATCTGTGCCCAACTTGCACATAGATTCTGCTCCAGAAAAACAGCAATGCAAACCAAATGTTAATGAGACATTTGTGAAGTTCTGTGTCTCATTCATAAAATATAATAACCATTTTACAACTGCAAGAAAACTGTTCTCTTCTTGTTTCCCACATCAATTGCACAATAAGACAGGGAATTTAACTGTGATTGCTGATTTCTGAAACCTATTTGAAGAAACCTGTTTTCTATAAAAGCCACAAATATGAAAAAATAAAATATATAGGGCAGCCCAGCTGGGCATGGAACTTATATGTGACACTACATAAAATGTTTAATAGCAAACAGATAAATAACCATTTTCCCCCTAGTATCTTGTATGAGTCCACTGTTTATTTCAGCGACTATTTCAATTTCGTATTTAACTTTGTTGCAAACCACCATATCAATGTTTTGACAAGTTTTCCTTTGGAGTATGGAGAACTTGTTTTTCAGTCTGCTCCCTTCCGGCCAGGCAGCAAAATCAAGGAAGAGCAAAGAGGTTTCCACTCCTGGTGTCGCCTGTCAAAGCATAACAATCCTCAGTACCCTGAGGAAGTGCACAAAAAGCCTGAAATTTTCCTTTCTTTCTCTCTACTCAGTTTTTGCCTCATTTGGTGGCCTCCTTTTTGTTGTTTGAATTGGAGAAGGGAAACCTAAACAGGCTCATTACGGTTACCTCTATAGCCAACTGGAATTGCTCATGTTCTCTCTGAAGCTGCTCAGCTTCTGATAGGGAGCTTGCGTTGACAAGGCTTGCATTGAGCATCGATTCTCCATTCCGAATCCAGCCAAGGACCTAAGAGAAAGAAGCAGAAAGAAAATTTGAAATACAACATTTTAACGTCTACATGAAAATGCTAGGGAAATGTCATTCAGAGATTTTGGCTGAAGCGAGATAGTTGTGTGGATGATGCTTGTTTCTGTTTACTTTCCCCAGGAATACAATGGAATTTCAAAATCAGAGTCTGTAAGTGTTTCTAGAGAGGATGGAATGAACAGTCTGAGACTTAAAAGTGGATAAAAAGTCACTGTAGGCAGGAAAAGTAACGATCCGGATGGAGGTTTTTAATCTGGTCTTATTATCTGAAACATCAGGTATGCTGTTTGGGAATGCTGTGTGCTTAGTGTGGCAACTCAGAGAGCGGCAAAGGGAATCTATTGCGGGTCAAGACACCTGCTGCTCAGGTTTTGAACCATCTCCATGTCTACGATGTTCATTTCTTCACCTAAAATATCCTCTGAAAAAATGAAAATGGTGGATGAATCCAGAGCTTGAGCAACAGGTAGCAGAAAAGTGCACCTGCCAAGTTAAAGACTAAAACAGAAAAAAGTGATGCAGGATGGCATGGATATCAGTACAAATGTATGGTTGCCAACGACGACTTCTGACATTACATCTGTCTGTAATTCCTATAGGATTCCCAGTGTGGTGTAGTGGATAGAGTGACAGACTAGGACTCTGGAGAAAAGGGTTCGAATCCCCACTTGGCCATAGAAATTCACTGAGGGAGTGGAGCTGGTAAAACCACTCCTTAAATTTCTCACTTACCTTGAAAGCCCTATTAGGGTTGCTATAAGTCAGCTCTGACTTCACGGCACAGAACACAAACACATACCCTATAATCTGCCATCACTGTCATCTTTTAAGGCTGCTTGGGCCCCCTGGATTTTGCAGTCCTGGATTTACTGCCCACAGTCCACCCTAGCAGAACAACCATTTGGATATAATGCTAAATCACAAGTTTTTAATAAATCAGTTGAACTAACCAGTTTATGGTTGGCTATAATAGGAAACTGCAGTGAGTTTACAATCAAGTATGCTCCTATACTCTGTTTTATTGCTGCCAGAGGATAAAGAAGGGAAGGGTGACACATGTGACCCAGAGACTATCTTGAATCACATTGTTGAAAAGGATCTATGCCGTAGCAATATCTAAAAGAATTCAGGCAGAATGAACCAACCAAATCTCAGCCATGATTAATTTCAGGGTGCAGCTATGTAGTAGGAAAAATATGGGTTCATCCATGGGACACCTCAAGGATTGCACCACTGTATAAAGTGATCTCCCCTCTTCCTTTGACCCTTCCGTCCTAGTTTGTCAACCTTACGAGTATTGAGTACAGAAAAGTCTTCACTAAAGGCTCATCTAGATATGCTCCCACTTGCTGTCCTAGAATTCTGATACAAAGGAATTCCATATGATGAAAGAGTTTGTTCCTGTGACCAAAACCCAGTTGAAAATTTGACACATGTCCCACTTCACTGCCCCCTGTTTGTAGCTGAGTGTGCAAGACTTTTGAAGTCTATTTTAGAACAGTACTCAGGCAGATCTGATCAAGACAAATTTAGAATACTTTTCTCAGACATGGGTAAATTTATTACATTTCGAATGGTGAAGTTCATTTCGATTTTTATAAAAACAAAGTCTGTACCCTGAATTAGTTTATTACATTTTGAATGGTGAAGTTCATTTCCATTCTTATAAAAACAAAGTCTGTACCCTGAATTACTAACCAAGTCAAAAGCTAGATTATTTCTATTTAGAGTCCTTTGTTGTCATTATTTCTGTTATTGTTAATGATTCTTAGCTTTATAGTTACGTTTACTAACTGGATGAATGTTTATGTTTAGATATGTAGACGTACTTTAAATTTTAGGACTTGTAAGTTTGACTAGAAGTCTAATTTATTTTGTTTTATATTACATTGTGTTGCTTTTCTATTATACATTCCAAAGGCCTATGTGCTGCACAATAAACTGAACTAATTCACACCCATGGAAATTGTTTCCTTGGGTGAAACTGCTGTAACTGTTCAGATATGCAGGAGTCAGGAGGAGCAGAGGTAACGAGGTTGGTTTGCACTGAGTTCCAACAACAGGAGTTGTTTTGACAAGATGCTAACAAGTGTTGATTGTTAATGTTTTCAATATAACACTGCCTGAGGTTTTACCTTTATTAAAGATATATTATGTTATTAATTGGAAAGAAGGGGTTGTTTTATCATGTTTTAATGGAATTTTATCACCCTGCCCGACTTTACTAAACAATAACTATATGTATCTATTTTACATTGATTCTGTTTTACTGGTCTTTGACCGTAATAAAGCCGTTTTACTGTTCTTTGACCGTAATAAAGTACGTATACTACTACTGATTGGCAATTTCTGGAATGAGAGGAACAAGGAACATTGAATGAAGCTCCTGGAATTTATACAGAATAATGCAGTCCTCTTTGAGGATGTTGGCTCAAAAAACACTCTGGGGATACTATGTCCTTCTTATTTCATTGGCTATTAGTAAACAAGTAAAATAAAAATTTTAAAATCTTCTTTAGGAACTTTTTTATGCACAGACAGCACATCCAGAACTGGAAGGACACAGACATTCATGACTAACGTTGCTCTGAAGAGTATCTCTTGAAGAGAACTCTGTCTTTTTATACTGAATGTGAAAATCCACAGTATCTTAGCTTTTTTTACATTTTAAACCCATTTGACATTTTGTTTGAAATACAGTTTGGCTCTTCAAAGTGCTAAAACATATATTCAGAACTGATTAGAGCTGAAAATCAACAAATAGGCATCTTTTTACTTGCTTCCTTGAAAGCTGTTTAACAATTTGCATCTTGCATCTTGAAACACCTCGTTGTCCTTCTGAAGGCAAGGAACCTATGATTTTAATTGAAACTAAAGCTCTTGATAACTGCACGTGGGTCACATAGCAGACCCTCCGGCACCACGTATGGCTCACTTGCCATATGTCAACTGTTGTACAGAGCCTCTGGCACCACCACACATGGCTCACTTGCCATATGTCAACTGTTGTTTAATATGGGAAAATGCAACTTATTTTTGAAGCTCCCAGGTTGGATATTTTCACTTCTAGGCACATTTGCCTGAGTATCTTGTAATTATTTTCTGTCAGAACTGGGAGAAAACAATGCTTTATAATTTCCAAAATGCCAGATTTCTTTCCCTTTCTTGTTCCATCTATGCAGAAACTGATGAACACTTTTCATAAGCAGAAACAACCTTTAATGCATGATCAAATGTTGTTCATGATCTATAGAGCTTTTGAACTCCTTTGGTTCAAGAGTCTTGCTACCAGTTTGTGTCCTGTCTCCACCCCATCTCAATTGTGATTCATGACATTGCTTTAAAGAAATCCTCTTTCCCTCCTTTGGTGAATCATATATCACTTTTGTGGCAATTTGCTTTGGAAGAAGGAAATCAGTTGTCATTAGGTGGAAACAAAACAAAACAAAAAGTAAATGGTCCCTGAATTCAGATTATCCCAATTTGTAAAACAAAAGAGGTAGCTTTCTGCTCAGTTCCCTAGCAGTGCTCCCCCCACACTTTTTAGCTGGAATCTCTCTTTAATCAATGTACAGTGGTGCCTCGCTTAACGGGTGCTCCGTCAGCGATGACTTTTTCGGAGCGTTTTTGCGCTTCGTTTAGCGATGGTCCCTATGGGCGATTTTCGCTTAGCGATGGCTGGGACCATGCTTCGCATAGCGATTAAATTTTGGGTCCCCTGTTTCGCTTAACCATGGTATAAACAGCCTCATGTTTGCTGTTTTTAAAATGTTTTTCTGTTATTTATAAAGTTAAAGTTTACTGTCTAAAATGTTTGAAATCATAAAGTGCACTTAATAAACCCTTTGTTAACCAAATTTGACTTTGTTCTGACTCTTTTTTAATTTGTTGTTGTATTTACCCCCCATTGAGATGCACTGAATAGGTTTCAATGCATTTCAATTGGGGAACCGCGTTTCGCTTAGCAATGTTTCCTATGGTGATTTTCGCTTAAGGACGGCAATTCATTCCTATTGGAACGGATTATCCGTTTTTCAATGCATTTCAATGGGAAACCGCATTTCGCTTAGCGATGAAATCGCTTAGCAGCGATTTTTCGGAATGAATTAACATCGCTAAGCGAGGCACCACTGTATACTACTACTGCTGTCAGAAGTACACCAGAGATTCTGAAGGAAAGCAATGGATCCATATATCAGTCAAGATACTGAAATACTAGTCTATTCCTGCTTATGGTATAAACCCAAATCATACAATAGTTAGGAGTAAAATTATGCACCACAAATGAATGGCCAAGATAGCTCTTGACAATTTTATGCTGTAACTTTCAATAAAGTTTTTTCCTAATGGTGCTGGAAGCCAAGAGGTAAATTATGGTGCTTCATTATTTATACATACAGCATGATTAGTGTAGGTATGCTTTCCAGCAAAAAGAGTAGTTCTCCTGAAACCTACAATCTAAAGTCTAACAGTAGAAAATGGAGTAAAGGATGAAGGGCAGGATCCAGTAGTGGGATGCTTCATGCTGACACCTGTTTGAATGAAGTCTCTGATCATATGGTTCTTCTCCTTTAACAAGATGTATGTGGGGGTGACAGGCCTGAAAATGGTAAGTACTTTCAATTGCCTTTGGCAGGGATGTCTGGCTGGACTGCTCAGTGGTTTAGGTATCTGGCTGCAGAGCCAGAAGCTAGGAGTTTGATTCCCACTATGGCTCCAAGAAGAAGAGCCAGCCTCTGTAGCCTTGGGTGAGCTGCACAGACCCAGGATGCATTCTCTGAAGAAGGGAACTTCTGAGTATTCTCTACCTAGAAAATTCTGAAAAGGGTTACCATAAGTCAGAATTTACCTGATGGCACATAGTTATTATTTTTATGGGTCTCTTAGCTCATGTGTTATTTCTGCATGGGACCTCCATAATAAATTACGCTGCCTGTGTAAAATTTCAAATACCATGCGATTTTGCCAAAGTAAACAAT